TTCTGAACGAGGCTCGGCCCAGGTGCAGTGCAGGAGGACGTCGAAGACAGAGATGTTAGATGAACTATTTATTTAAAATTCCCCTCAGTTGTTTTATTCAATCCATTCAATGTTTTAAGTTGCTTTAATCAAAGGAGTGACGGCCTGAACGAGCCAGATGAACAACGTGGGACATCCTTACCGGATTAAAACAAGAGTCCAGTTGTTCATTAATGCAGTTTAAAGTTAACGTGTTTTAATAGTGTGTTCAGTTTAATTATCAGTGTTTGTGTGACATACAGTTTGTGGTGTTGAATAAATAAATAAAAATTAAACCTGATGTCTTCATTTTCAACTTTAGTGTTCACGCTATATGTTTAGCATCATTTTAAATTTGAATTACATAATGTCCAGATAGCTTCATTTAGCTCAGAGCTTCATTATATCTCTCACACTAACATAAATACTGTTTATTATTATTAAACTGTTATTATTTAGCACATTTAGTATGTTATAGTGCAGCGCGACGTGTGCGCGTGCCTCGTTCTATAAACAGCGACATTAGAACTGGATCAGACTGTGTCTCTTCCAACACAGATGTTGATCACAGCACCTGGAATCTGACGTAGATTAACTACGAGATTAAAAATATATTCCATCAGTCGTAGTTCTGAAAGCAGTGTGTCCACCGCCATGTTGATAGAAATATAGCATCTGTGTGCGCATGCGTGTGCACATGTGGTTTAACACAAAGCCTCAGCAGGAGATGTTTACATTATCAGCGGGGGGGTCAGCGAAAAACCTTGACTCTGGAAGGTGGGTTCAGAAACCTCCAGATTCAAAGAGGGGGGCCACTGGTGTCGTGTCAATGATCAGCAGAACTGCAGAGAGAAAGCTGCAGATGCACTCAAAATACACGCCGTGTAAACGGCCCCTAAAGCACTTTGATAACAGGTTCTGATTTAAATGTGCTTTATAAATAAAGTTGACTTGACTAAAGGACATTATTATTTCAAAAACGTTTTTTTAATAGTTAGATTTGTTGACAAAATTGACAGTTATTCAAACACAGAGAAGAATCGTTTTCTTAAATAAACTGAGGTTCCTTAAATCCATATGACTAGTGTATTTACTTTGTCTTGCAGACGCAGACTGTTCAGGAAGCTCTTCAACGAACTCTACAATTCTACAGACAACAAGAGATCAGGTATGATCCGTCCTGCCTTTATTCTCAAGTTGGTTCACGTGCTGTTAGATCTCAGGTGTCCCTGTCACTCATTTCCCACATGTTTGCTTTTATTTTTCACACTTGTCTGTCACACATCACGCACCTGCTCAGTGTCTGAGAGCTTCTCACCGACTCTGGCACTCCTCGTTCTCCCTGCCACCCTGTCTCCTCCCTTCCTGTTACGGTTTCACAAACACAAGGAAAACAAAAACAAACACACACCTAGATGCACTCCTTCACATCTTGTCTGAGCCCTGTCCAAACAGTAAAACCCAGTGGAGTGCGTTCGGTCAGGCATGACACCTAAAAACACGCTTCACAAAGCGCAGACTGCATTCAGACGCAAAGATGCTGGTTTGACACTGCTCGGCTGTACACCTCGACCTCTGTTGTTGTCACTTATGGCTTATTTGCACTGCTCCTAATCAGCCCCAGCTCTGCACACCCCTCAGCTCAGCCTGGGTTTGCACCGCACTTTCAGACCGATTCTGGAGGCGTGTCGAGAATCCAAGATCCTGCAAATGAACTTTTGTTCCCTGAGTGAGAGTTCTGCGATGAGTTAAACTCAAATCAGTCTGCTCCTCAGATGAATAATTTTAAATTATTATTTTAAATAACAATGTTTCTGTTCAGTGCTCTGAGACGACTTCTGTTGTGACTTGACGCTATATAAATAAACTGAATTAAATCAGATGAATCAGATTCTACAAAAACATCTATATTTGAAATTCTATATTTTTCTTCATCATTTGATGTATTTGCACTCGTGGTTTTGTTTCTTGTATACAGATTATTTTTTTTGTATACAGATAATTTTTTAGCTTTGATTTAAAGTGTAATTCTTGTTTTGTGATTTGTACGTCTGTGGGTTAGAATAAAGTTGAACCAAAGGCTGTGTCTCTTCTTTAAACCTGTTTGAGGGAAATATTCCTGAGAGATCCAATAATTTTGTCTTTTTATGATTTTTCAGCTGAGTTAACTTTAATTAACAGATTATTTAATAAAGTCGAAGTGAAAAGAGGATTTCGTGATAAAGCCAGCACTGTTTATTTATTTTTATTCTTCACTTATTAAAAAAAACATTTTTTTATACATAAAATGTTTTAAAAAACGTTTCCACCCTTCGTCCCGGTCCTCCCCCTGACCAGTCAGTGTCCTGCATTCACGCTTCTGTCCCGACTCAGCTCGCATGGTCCCAGCAGAGAAGCAGGAACAAAAAGAGGTCTCGAATCAGCTAAAAATACTAGCTAAAGGTGCGAAAGGTTTCTTTCCGTGGCGGGCTGCCCAGAGTTGGGGCTAATCAGGAGCCGTGCAAATAATCCATTAGTGTGAACGAATGTGGGGTTCATGGCTGAAAGATTTTCAGAAGCACTGCAGCTCTGAAGTTCTTCATACATCAACCAAAACTCTTACATCATAATTAAAAAATAAACTTTACTTGCCATTTTCAACATTCTCAAAATGTGTATTTAAATCATTCTTTTTACCCAGACACCACTCCTTATGCATCCATGTGATATGTTGAATAAATAAGGACAAGCACCATTTTATCTCGTCACACTCCATGCAAGCTGGATCATGGTTTTGTGTGCTTGATTTGTGCACCTAACAGATGCGAGGAAGTTGAAAGTGATGAAAGGCGAAGAAAAAAGAAAGAGGAGAAGTGCCCACTACTAGAAAATTCTGGTTCAGAGGAAGACGTCCTACAAATTCTTCAGTACATGGGCACAATATTAGGTAAGCATGTGAGAAGAGGTGAGACGTGTGTGTAATATTTTGTGTTTGCCATTAAGAAATTTGCTTAGTTTTGATTGTGTAAACATTCATTACCTAGATGGCTTGAACATTTTTAATACCTCTTTCAATTTGTAAGGTTTTGCTCATGATTGCTCATATTCTCTTTACAGTAGTCCCTCTCTACTTCGCAGTTCGTTTATCGCAGATTCACTCAGTAGCGGTTTTTCAAAATAAGATTGGACATGACACACGATTGATGAGCTGCACAATCGGCATGAAATTGTTATTTAAAATAAAGTATTTCAAATTATTTAGCACCTTTGTGTAGCCCATACTGCAGGATAAGCTTACTGCTGTAGATGATCAGCTGTTCTTGTGCAGAGCGGAGAAGTGGGCGTGGCTAAGAACGCTTGCAGGTGGCTGAGTGCAGAGGAGGCAGTGAGAGGGGAATCATGACCTGCTGTGCTTTATTTAGTGCCTTTAGAGTTTAGAAACATTGTTTATAATATTTCAAGAGTGTGGGAAGGGTTGAAAACGCCTCGTACTTACTAAATAAAGTACTACTTACTACTTGTACTACTATTCCTCCTTTGCGGTTTTTCACTTATTGCGGGGCTTCAGGGTACAGATTGCCCATGATAAACGAGGGAGTACTGTACTGTATAACGAGAACAAAATGTACACAAGTACACAACTTCCTTCAGTTAATTATTAATTATGCTCACACTTGTATTAAACTCCTCAAAGATCTAACTTTATCCATCCATCCATTATCTTTACTCGTTGCTTCCTTTTGGACCGCGGGGGTCACTGGTGCCCACGTCCAGCTGTCATGGTGTGAGAGGCCGGATACACCCTGGACAGGTCTCCAGTCCACCAAAGGGACACATAGACACAAACGAGACAAACAACCACTCACTCTCTCACTCTCACCTAGAGACAATTTAAAGTTACCAATCAGACTAACATGCATGTTTTTGTGCTGTGGGAGGAAACTGGAGCACCTGGAGAAACCTCATGCATGTGCAGAGAGAACATGCAAACTCCACCCAGAAAGGTCCCAGGCTGGGATTTGAACTGGCGACCTTCTTGTTGAGAGGCTGCAGCTCTATCAACTGAGCCACCGTGCTGCCCATCTAACTTTATAGCAATTCAAAAGAAAAATTGTACATCTAGTATCATTGCAATAGTAGTGCAAATATAGTACGTGACTATTTACACAGGCAAAAACACACATGCACAAAGAACGTATTCAAGGATTCAAGGTTCTTTATTGTCATTCACATCACATACGGTACATGAGGTGGAACAAAATTATGTACACAGGGTCCCAGTTACATCCAACAAAAATACAAATTGTAAAGAAAAGCAGTAATAAGATCCAAAACATGAGCTAAGAAATACACTAAACTAAGATTATACTAAGCATTAATAATACAAAACAATGCGCCAAACAACAGCAGCACGAACATGAGTTTGTGTGAGCAGATGAGGACGAATGAACACAGCAACATGAATTAAATCAGCAGCATGAGCATCATGGATAGTATAGGTTTCGTTATGTCTTTAAAGCCCAACATTAAAAAACGCACACAGTCATGATTTGTTCAGTACAACTTGATCCGTTCTATAACATCTAAGATTTCCTCCTGCCTCTGTGTCCTAACCCCCTCTAGTCTGTCTGTTTTGTTCTAGTTAGTACCAATTATACTGTTATACTTGAATACAATGAGAACCATAAAAAGCATTTATTTTTTTAATGACCTTTAAAACAATCTGGCAATACTAAATCACTATTTTAAACCTAATTTTCTTTTCAAAATGTTTAAGGAAAACTTCAGTTATTTTTTTCCTGGTACTGCTAGTACATTACAGTCTCTGGGTGCAGCTGCTTAACTGTTTTTGGCTTTTTTGTTCAACCAAATGATTTCAAATGTTATTAAAAGACGTATGTTTTTTAAAGAAATGTGAATCACCCATCACCTCGCATCACCAAAGTTCTTGAATGAAGATGTAACACATTATTTTAAGTTAGGACTTAGTAAATAGTGGGTGGGCCAGTGTGTGTGTGTGTGTGTGTGTGGGTGTGTGTGTGTGTGTGTGGGGGGGGGGGGGAACTGGGGGTTCTCCCCCAGAAAATTTTGAATAAAATAGATGCAATTTCCTGCATTTTGTTGTATTTTAATGCACGATATATACGGTACACGGTAGAAACGATAGAAATTCAGTCTACGATATAGATCTGTCTCCTACCGGCTAACTGCAGTAACGCTGTGTCTGATGTAAAATCAGAGTCGTCAGATTTAACCGTTACGTTTTTTTTAGTTGAAAACTGTGTCAATGGTGTTAAAGTAATTTCTTCGAGAGCTAAGTAGCGAAGCTACAAGCTAACTACACCCGGCTTGCCGTAGTGTTGCCGTATTCGGACGCATGCGCAAAACGCCGGGTTCCGTGGAAAGTTAAAGTAAGCGTTGGTCATCTTTAGAGAAACCTGCTCTCTGATCGGTAAGAGAACGCTGTGTTGTGTGATTTTACTGCGAGACCCTCAGGTCAAAGCCACAGACTCATTTTGTGTCAGCTCTCCATTAAAGCAGAAGGAGGCGCCCACTAGAGGTTTGGAGGGTGAAGTGTTTCAGAGTAAAATGCTGCTCTGTTGCTGTTCATTTGTTAAGACTGGTAACTGTTAAGAGTTAACAACATATTCTTTTGTTTAAAACATATGGCTAAAACTACATTTGATATATTTTGCACTGTTTTGCACTACAATAAAAGAAGACTAATACTTGATTTGTTTATTATTTAAAAACTCTCTGGACCTAGTAGTGGAATTTTCTTAATTCAAAATAAATGATTGCAAAAGAACACCCTATGCTTTTTTTACATTCCTATGGCAAGTTTTATACCAAAAACATATTGTGATAAATATCATTATCGCCACCCTTCACAATACACATCGTGCTATGAATTTTATGCCATATCGCACATTCCTAATTTTAACGTGTTATTAAACATCTACGCTTACTTACATTTGTAAACACTCTGCTTCTGTCAAGCATCCTACCCCCTCCCCCACTTACTTGATGGTTCCGAGCCCGACACTGTCCCTGCTAGTTGTTGTTCGACTCCACATGCTCCGGCCTGCGTATGACTGCCTGGTTAGCTCGGCAGTCACTCCCACCACTTTTTTAGGGGCGGAGATCTTTTTTTAAGGGTAGAGGCGGAAATGCTACTTAAAGGGGCAGCTGTTTTGTTTAAAATTAGTGTTTGTCATTATTTTCAGTTTACTATAAATTTGATTTGTTTAAGGCAGTCATATTTGTTCATAACTTTACTATTAGTAAACCTGAGAGTTGTTGGATCCAAGCAAACTGTTATCAGAACGCACTCTGTCAAAATAAGATAGTTCCTGGATCCTTCCTGCAGGATCCAGCTCAAATGAGACCTGTTTTAAGTACTTGAACACAAGGTTGGTGGGGGTTGGGCCTACAGGATAGCTTAAGGCTCCAGTATACTCCCGCGTCCTGTCAGCAGGAAACTGTGCGCACTGTCCGCAGACGGTTGAGACTTCATGCTCGAGCGTCCACCCTGAGCGGCTGCAGAGCAGCTTCGCAGACAAGGGGCGTGTACCTTCGGGACAAATTGAGGTCGCCGATTGGCCATTTGCTGACACGCCTACTGGATTGATTGATTGGTCGAAAAAATAAAATAAAAACGAGAGCTGGCAGCCCCAGCCGCAGCTGTGTTCTGTATTTATATGTAGGGCTGGACGATATGGCCAAAACTTTTATCACGATATATCTCTTAATTTCGGTCGATAACGATATAATTCGATATCGATATAAACAATATAAAAGCCTCAGAAAAACTGCAAACTATACAAATAAATTAATGTTCACCTTTTATTTGTATTTAGCCTTCAAAAAAATTGAAATCACTGTCAAATAAACATAAAATTCTCAACTTTGTCAATATTAATAGTTTTGACTTTAACCAACAACTTTAAAATTGACAGCATTGAAATTCATTGTTAATGAAATAAAATTTTTGGGTGTCGTTATTGATGAGAAGCTGACATGGAAATCTCATGTAAAATACTTAAAAATAAAAATAACAATCAGTTGCATTACTGTATAAAGTAAGAGTTTTTGAATGACAAAGCTTTGTATATATTGTATAATGTAATGATTGTTCCATATTTAATCTATTGTAATGAAGTTTGGGGAAAAGCATGTAAAACAATTACAAACCCTATTTTTATTTTTACAAAAAAGAGCTATAAGAATTATTAGTATTATGAAGTGCTATGGTCACCCAACAAATATATTGTCATCAATTGAAATTATTAAAATGTTATGATTTGGTTGAATATAGTATTTTACAAGTCACGTATAAAGCTCATAAAAATATTAGCCCCAAATATTCAATTAAAATTTGTAAAAAAAATAAATATAAAAAAGGAGAGTCAATATAACTTAAGGGAATGTAAATGTTTGTAAAACCTCATTTAGAACTGGTCTGAAGGAGCTGTGTTGTAATTCAGGGAACAGGATTATGGAATTGTCTTGATATCACCATAAACATTTCTAAAACAATTTATATGTTTAAAAAATGATAGTTAAAGTTGTTGTGAAGGTTTAGGACCAGGTGAAGGATACCTGAAGTTTTTTTGTTTTCAGTTTGGAGATTGTTCAAGTCAAGGTTGTCGTTTGTTTGTAGTTATTTTGTATTTTTTAAATTAGGGGCAGATAAGAATTTTTTTCTTCTTTCTGCAACATTTTCATTCAAAGGTTTTTTTTCTTTCTGATGAATTTGTTTTATTTTAAATGAATGAATAAATGATAAAACCAAACAAAAAAAACCCTGCAGCGCTGGGGGTGTTTCAGGGACACGTTGGCTCAAGTTTTATTGTGCTTCATCTTGTGACTCATCATCTTCTGTCAGGTGGAGCAAGTTCGATGTTCCAAACGCTGGTTAGAACGACTCCGTCACATTTTGCAGCTCACTGACTGAAACCTGCAGTTTATCAGATCTTAGAAAGCCGAACCACTTCCAAACCAGCAAATTAGTCTTTCCTCTCTTATCAGTGATGTCATCTGCTTCTCTTCGCTTGTGAAAGCTTGTTCAGTCACATTCTGACGATCATGGGAACTCATTTTGAAGAGAAAACTTAACGCGCGTTGGAGATTAGCCTAGCTTAGCCTGCTACCACTAGCCTTCTGGACTTGAGCTCTGCGTAACATTGCGTCACCACTCACTTACGTAGTTGTGTTGCACCTTTTTCTGTCCGGGTTGAAACTGACGTGGCCGCTTCAACCCGAACAGAAAACGCTGTAATCCTATCGAAATATCGAAAATGTGCTTAAAATTCATATCATCTTTATTGAATAAAAGTATATCGCGAGATATATCGATATCAAATTATTGTCCAGCTCCATTTATATGTTGTTAATTATAGGGTTCTAAGGGCTAGGTTTTAGCTGCCCTTGACTACAATATATTTAAATAAACAGGTTCTCTCTTTTTCGAGCTAAATTACAGCCATGTGACTGAGGTAACTGTGCGTAGATTGTTTAATCAGTGACATGAGACGTTAATTTTCTTTGACCCATCAGAATAAATGTGGTCATTTATTGAACAGAATCATAATTTAACATCAAAATGTACAAGTGATTAGCTGATCTGGTTCTGATTAATAAAACTTGGCACGTTTTACTTAATAAAAACAATAGACATTTCTGAAGACCTCTAGATTAATTACTGGCAAAATAGAAGAGTTTAAAGAGGAGGATTTAGATGGATGAAGAGGAAAGTGTGTTGACTGGGAATGGCACCCTTCATCCGAGCCCAGCTCAGCCCCGGTACACTAGGTGCGTGGCGACTCATTACCTTAGACGGGAATACCTCCGCTCAGGAACAGGAGTCCATTTCAACGCGACCTTTCAGCGTCTCCGGTAAGGATGGCTGAGAATCGTCCGAAGTAGTGACGGTACTCCGTTCAACAAACACGCTCATCTCCTGGTTGGATACACAGCAAGCTGTGAGTCCGTAAGAGGTTCCACTCAGATGTGGAAGGATCCATCACAGGCTCCGAAGACTAAGTTCAAGACTAGACTTCATCAGAGACCCACTTGAGGAGCTCAGGAGACTTGACAGACTGACTGACAGACCCAGTTGACCTAGTTGACCTGAGAAGTTCCAGGAAGTGTGGACTCTTAAAGAGTTCCCACTTCCGGTCACCTCAGGACTTCCTGATTGGTTGAAGCAACCAACAGGGGGTGGTTCTAGTGATGTCAGAGGGTCATTACAAGTCAAGAAAACAGCAGGAATGTTTTAGAAACTAAAGAAAAGGCCATTAAACCAGATCAGAGATAAAGAAGGGCAATTTAATACATTGGCATCGCAAACAAATCAGTCCGTCACCGGGCAGTTTATTGTGCAACACAGAGTACATGTACGAGGTCGTAAAAATGGATCTTTGCGCAGACATGGCTTGAAGGCGTCCACTTCGAGTCTAATCCGGTATGTGTGGACCTCCGCGGACTGAAGTACACCCGAGTCTGAGGGAGCCGTAAGATGGCCCTGACTACAATACCAAATTTTACCTCAATATCTGTAAAAATGACGTAGCAATGTTTCTGTTTGCGAAGGTCGATAAGCTGTGGTGGCCATCTTTTATCTGGTTGACACCAATTGTAGATTTACATCCCATGATTAGAGTTGTATTAAAATATGTCAAGTTCATGAGATGGTTTGTTAACAGACATGCATGTGGACAGGACATTACATGATCACCTGCTGCCATGAAAGGCAGCACAGTCTGTGTGTACCAGTAGAAGGTCTGTAATGAATGTTTTGTTTTTATATTCAGTGGCTATTAAGCTTTAATTTCCACACAGGTGACAGTACAGTATTGGATTTTCAAATGCCTCAGGTTTAGTTGTTCAGTCTGCCCACAACAAAAAGACCCACTTTCATGCATATTTTTCTGGTTTTTGCTTTTCAGTCTTCAAATTTGTTGCTGATATTTCTGCTCATAGAGTTCCAGTTTAGTGTCTCTTATGAAACACAAACGTGTCAGACCTCACTTTAAACCTACGTAGTTTTGTTTTAATAATAAAACAACATTTTTGTCTGTATTCAGTAATTTCAGTTCTTTGTTGTTTTCCCGTCTTTTGTTCCTCAGGTTGACACTTAGTAGATCTACAGTATATACTGTATGTTTCACAACCAAACTCTGCAGAGAAAATACTGATTCTAATGAAATATTTTAAATTCTGTTTATATCTTATCTGTAATCTTTTAATCCTGTTTAATCCTGTTTTTCCAGTTTTTTATTTTATGTGCCTTAAGATGCATTCATTTTATCCAATCAATATTCTTTTTTTAGAACTTTGATGTTTGTTTTGGTGTTTTTCTGTGGCTGATGTACTTCTAATTATTTTGCTGGATTAAAATCTTGGTAGTAGGATAAATATATTAAATGTTACAGATCTTTTTTTAAATTATTTATTTTATGTGCATGATTTTTTTATTTATTTAGATTTTTAACAAGGATTAAAAGCTTTACTGTACTGTTCATTACTGTTCATATTACCTTATATATATATTTTTTTATCCTGTGGTTTGAATTAGATTCTACGATGGAGCTTTAGGGCCACGCTAAGAAAAAAAAATTAAAGCCATAAAATTACAAGAGTAAAGTCCTAGTATTATAAGAATAAAGTCGTACTGGACTTTTTTTTTTTTTTCAGCTCTCATTTATTTATTTATTTATTTATTTTTCCCCATGAGTCGGATCCACAACGCGACCTGTCAGTCAATCCAGTAGGCGTGTCATCAAATGACCAATCCGAAGCTAAATGCTCGTTACCTGCAGAGAGCTGCTGCAGCCCATCAGAGCGTACCACCTTCCTGTAAGCAGGTTCAAAGTCCTGATACTGATAATAATCTGATGCTGATGTGCTGACAGATTAACTATCTCCTTATTTGTAAAACCAATATCAAAGTATAACTTAACAAGATGCTCAACATTCTTCATTTTACCACAGTTAAACTGCGGTAAAGTCTGCTTTATCGTGTCGGAGTTCAGATAATATTACGACTCGTTTAGCTTCGGATTGGTCATTTGCTGACATGCCTACTGGATTGATTGACAGGTCGTGTTGTGGATCTGACTCATGGGGAAAAATAAATAAATAAATAAACGAGAGCTGCAAAAAAAAAAAAGTCTCGTACGACTTTATTCTCATGATATTAAGACTTTATTTGGCTTTATTCTCATAATTTTATGGCTTTTTTTTTCTTCTTATCGCCCTAAAGCTCCGTCGTAAGATTCTATACATGTTGGCAGTAAGTGTATTTATTTATGACAGATGTAGGTTAGTTGTGCATCCACCGCCCTGCTGACTGGTGTTTTGTTCCCCCCCAGGAGTACCATTCTGTGAGCTGCGAGAGCATTTTGGTGAGGAGTTCTTTGGCCTCTGCTTTGAAGAGAACGAGCGTGTGCTTCGGGCCGTAGGCGGCAACCTTCAGGATTTCTTCAATGGCTTTGACGCCATTTTAGAACACATTCGCACCTCCACGGGGCGCCGCGCCTCCTCAGAGAGCCCCTCCTTCCAGTGCAAGGACCCCCACGAAGAGGAGAAAGGCAGAGGAAAATTGAACAAAGTTGGCACCAGCGGAGACCGAGCTGGAAGAGGGAAGGTGTTGCTGCTCCATTGTTTCCACCCTGCACCTGTAGTTGGATTAGTTATGCCAGGTTTGATTAGAGCTGTCGCCAGGCGGATCTTTCATTCACAAGTCGAGGTGGAAGAAGTGCCCCCTCTCACCCCCCTGCTGCCAAATGAAGATTCAGAACATACTGACTGTGACTCTACAACCCCCACACCCACTGCTTCCCCCACTGCCTCTCCGTCCTCATCCTCGTCCCCTCCCTCGCTTTTTCCAACTTCTGTTCCTACAGTTTGTCTGTCCTTCCTAATCCAGGAGACATGCCCTCCCTCGCTCGCTTCCTTCCCAAATTTTGCCTCGGGGAGCACCAGCCGGCCCCCACTCTCACTCTCCACCAACCCCAGTGACCTTCGCATTTCCCTGGCTACATTTTGCCGTGCCTTTCCGTTTCACCTCGTCCTGGGGCCTCGCATGGAGCTGCTGCAGCTTGGAGAGGGACTGAGGAGACAGGTTCGCATCGAGCCTCACCGGAGCCTCTCGTTCAGGGACTGTTTTGAGATCGTCTCGCCCAAGATGGATCCCTCTTTCAAGGGCATCTTGTTGAGACTTGCATCCCCATTTACCATCCGGACCAGGCCCGACAGCACACAGGCTGGCACCAAGGAGAAGGTAAAGTTTTTGTATTCAAATTGTTTGAAACGGTCCCCCCAAATGTTTCAAAGAAATGACCTTTGCAATAGTCTAAATCAGCATCTGCATGCTTTTAATTGTTACTTATTAAATTTCAAGCATTAGATTGTATCACTTATTACACAGCAAGATTAGTATTTTTAGTAATTTTCAGCTGTCTGCATTTTATAAAGCCACATCCCTTTATTAAAGTTACTCAAATTGTAATAGAGATGGATGTGATTGAAAGTAAAACCTTTTTGCTTTAAATTAGATTCACCCAAAGAAAGTCAAGTGAAAGATAGATATATAAAAAATCTACACGTTTGTTAAATGACTAGAAGGGTTTTCCATCTCAGCTGGAACAATACTGTATTTAACATTATATTTCCAGAAGTTGCTTATTGTCTCCTTCAGTCCATTCTTAAGATATTTAATACTGGCAGATGATTTTCATCTCATCTATGATGCACCATCTTTGGTATTTGACATGGCCATACTAAAAACAACTTGTGCCAAATTGTAAAGCAGTTTTAAATGTAAAATTATTAAAAAAAAAAAAATTGCTGGTACTTGTGTCGTAATTATGGAGGCATAGTTTTAGATCATATATGTCAAACTCAAGGCCCGGGGGCCAAATGTGGCCCTCCTTAACATCTTATCTGGCCCCCAAGATGTTATATTAAATATAAAATACTTCTATCACTTTAATTTTTTTCAGTAATCTTTGATTATGATGTCAAAAGTGCAACAGAGAACATCTTTAAGGCCAGTCAAACTCTTGTTGAGGAACCTGCAACCAAGAAAAGATGTTGGGTATTTACCTTGAGTTCATGTAGATTCTGAAACCGGCCCTTAAACACCCCTGCTGTAGACCCAATCCCAGGCAAGCAAAAGATCCCAGTCAAAACTAGAATTTTAATATGAGCAGGAATCAAAGGCAGTGCCACTTGACAAGACTGAACAGCACAGGCCAAATTAGAACTAACAGGAAAAGCTGACAAGGAGTGAATAAAATCAAGAAGCCTAGACATACTGGGATTAATTATTATTTTATTTATGGATGAAGGACAGGTAACTGAGGAGCTGGACGCAGTAGTAACTGAGGGCACTTACAGGGTAAGATTCAATAAGATTAACATAAAACAGAAATAAACAAAGCCACTCTGAAACCTAACACCACACATGAAAAACTCAGGCACCCTCAAATTTATGCTGTTATTTTAATCAACCAAAGTCCAGACCCAGTAATTCAGTAGTCTCAGACACAATCTTTACTGTCATCCAGAGATGATTCAAACTAATAAAAGAGCAGTTTTCACACATGCACCACAAGCTCTGATATGTTCAGGAGGATGAGATGTGAGAACATGTAAATTATCAGGATTTATGCTAAACTTCTTGCAGAAATTCTCCTCCTAACCTCTGAAGCAGGGGTGGGCAGCTCTTTTTTTTTTTTCCAGAGGCCAAAATCAAGATATTAAAGAAATCAAAGGGCCGCAAAGAGAACTAGAAAATTAATTTTCTGTAGGACAGATAATCTGGAATACTTTTTTCAGGCTTTATTTTGTTGTAGCAAAGTTAGTACGTTTGGAAAAAAAAATAATGTTTCCACATTTCTCTTTAGGAATATAAGACAAACTCTGTAAACTAGCTCTTGTGGCAATATATTTGTTAGCTTACAAAGTTACAGTATTTATTTACTTTCTGAAGTTTTTATGGTTCAGTATAATTATGGAAACACAACTTAAAAAACAAGTTGTATCCTATTTTAATCCACAGGTTTTTGCTGCGTTTGTCCAAGATGATTAATTTACTTCCTTAAGTTTCATTAATAAAATGCAGGTTTTATAAATGTATTTACAAGTTATTTACTTTTTAGTTAAGGATATTGGAAGCCGGATGGAAACTGTCCAAGTGCCACTTTTGGCCCCCGGGCCATATGTTGCCCACATTTGCTCTAAAAGTTCAGCTGCTGCTTTTTTCAGGGAGGTCATCCTTTCAGTCCAGTCAAATGGTAAGGGGTTCAATTTCCAGCCCCTGTTGTGTGCCAAAGTATCATTGGACAAACACCTGTATCATATACATATATATATATATATATTGTTGGATTTAATATTTTATACATTTTTATAATTCCTATCAAGCACTCAAATGTCATGTCACATAAAGGGTGTGCGTGTCTTTCT